GGATGCAGAGAGGTGGCTTGCCCTGAGCTGCAATGCGCCTGTCGAGGCACCCAAAAGCACCCTGCGAAAAACTGTTAGTCAATCGCTTGCCCCTCAATAGACAGTCTGCATGCAAGTAGAAATACACGCACCAATATCAGAAAGACTGTGCAACGCACGGAACCTGACGTCAACTGTGGTATGGCCTCCCTGTCGTACAACGGAGTACATGCAACAAGTAATGCATACAGGGAAGCGTCCACTACGCCTTCTACTATACTGTCCTGCAAGCGTTTATACACTAGAAGTGAGGTGCAGCATCAACACATACCGTGACAAGCAAACCAATGTTTCAGGGGGGCAAGCTCACAAGCACAGCACAAGCATTCAGTACTAGTTCCACACCGGGCATACGGGATAGTAGTTGCACAGGCAGCACTAATATATATAGATAAAAGGATCATTCCTGTGTACAATGAGAATTTATTGTAATGCTCTGTTGCGCGATTGTCGCTCGACGCATGCTGCAGCCCCAAGACCAGAAACCTTCGATGGCTTGTTGTTTCTAGCGTGATTGTTGCCTTCAGTAAGTAGAAACTGCTAGACTCAATTATTTCCTACATTTTGTTTCTATATCATGCGTTGATTCTCCAGTTTATACTAGCTCCTTATGTGCGGCGGGTCGCGTTTCCTGGGGGGTCGTGTTTCCTCCATGAGTCCATCCCTTTACTCTTCATGAGTCATTGCGAAGGCAAATTCTGGATCGAATTCAGCCTTTCTACGGTGAAGGTTTCGTGACAGAATGAAGAAGAAAAACCCAAAGGGCTCCGATTCGGGATATACTGCAGTTTTTGACTTTGCCGCGAGGCGGTGAGTTCCCTACCTTGTGGTCGCTGTTGCAGTATCACTGAAAAACTAAATGTACAACAATTCATGATAATCCAAGAGGTCGCATTGGAAGTAATATTCATGCTGTTGGTCGCCGTGACATAGACGCCGTCGACTGCAGCAATAGATGGCGGCAGTTTCAGCGGTGGGGGGGAGGCAGTGCCAATACTCAAGCTCACACGGTTTGTTTGTGCGCTCCAGAGAATTCATCACGGGGGCATCAAAACGGAAGGAACAACGCAGGCAAGAGGCCCAGGCAAGAGCCCTGGAGAAGCAAAAGGAGGAGAGGCGATTGCTGCGAGCACAGGTACAGTGCAACTTAGAAGTTGACCGCATTTCCTTCATGGATTGCAAATACGAGTAATCACTGGGACTGCCGCAACATCGGCGAGGTACAGTACCTCTGCAGGGACATAATCTTATAGTCTTTCATTCAGATGCGTGTGCGGCCCCTTTCCCCTGCAGCGCCGAGAGAAGATCAGAGAGCAAATCAACTACGTAAAACGCAGCCAACAGCTTGCCGAGGCGGCAGCAGAAGCTATTACTTTGCGCCACAAAAAACGCCAAAAATCTGTTGGGGCTGATTCACAAGAGAGCCGCGCCAGTGACAGCAGTCCAGCAACAAAGCGCGAAGGTGTGTGCCGCATATTATGAATGTATCTATAGACCCCGAAGAGCTCTGAGGCGTACATACGGAAAATAGGGATGCAGCTGCCGCCGAATCCCTACCTCCCCTGCTTGCGCTGACGCCCTTGAACGCCATCGGGACGGTGGTGGCGTTCAAGGGTGACAAATGGCTCGGCGCTGGTGCTAAGACTTCGTCTGAGCCTTCTTGCTGGTTGATTTGTTGCAGGTCACGCTGCTGAGAAAGCGTGGAAAGCTTCGGAGGCCCAGCCGGCCAAGACAAGTGAAGTCGTGCAGGTACGCCGTGCATCTCCTGGAGCTGTTGTCTCTGCTGCTGCTGCGTTCTTGGCGTGTGCCTTTTGTACTCCGATACCTTCGAGGCCCTCATGGTAGCATGATGAATGAGGGCCTCGTAGAGAGGTAGATGGCGGCGGGGGGAAGCTCGCAAGTGCCTCTTTCTTTGGGTGGCTGTTGCAGGCCGTCCGTTTGCTGCCACCTCCGACGAATGACGTTTCTTCATCTCCCTGGCACATCGCCTCTTGTGTGTCGCTTTCCATTGGGGGATTCGTAGAAGCCCCGGCAGCGGCAGCAGCAACAGGAGCGCCGGCGGCCAGAGTTCACAAGCCTCTGCAGGCTCCGTCTGAGGCTTCTGTTAGCTCAGAAGAAAAGCAGCTCCAGACAGCTCGCACATCAGTTACGCCTCAAGAGACCGCTAAGGTTAAAAAACGGCCTCAGGGGGCACTGAGAGGCGGGAGAGCGGGTAGACAGAAGCACCAAAAGAAAAGACATAAGTCCAGAAAACCTCAGAGGAAACGCAGCAAACGCAAATGAAGCCAAGTGTAACCTACTTGCGCGTCTTCCTTTTTCCCTGGCTGAACCCTTTTCTTACTACGAAATAAAATGTTGGCAGTAACTACGGTGGTGCCGTACAGACCACCACCAGACATCCTATTTTGCACTTTATTTTGCTTAGATATTCACCAGCGGTTAGAAAAGCGTCGCCAGGTCAGCTTTGCTGTCCAAGTCACAAAAATTGCCACCTATAAGGCAGGCAGACGCGTCAGTGAGTGGACCCTCTGGTGACAGTCGAGTCGCGAGCTTGATCGTACTCGCTCGGTGCCCGCAGAGGCGGAACTGCTACGTTGGTGTTCTTCTTCTTGAGAACACACTGCACGTTTGCACGTGTGGCCGCGAGCTGGGAGCTCTATCGGGGGCCAAAGTAGCCAGTCCAGACTGCTGTTGCCGCGGAGCTCTGACGATGCGACGTTTTGTGAACGCCAAGGCAGCCCCTGCATACGCAGAGTTCAAAGGGCCCTCGATGCCCTTGACTTGTTGTTTGCTCCGCGGGTGTAACGGAAACCGTGGCCTCAGTAGGAGCTGAAAGACAAGTCGTTGGGGGCAAGCCTCAACTTTGTCTGTTCCTTAAGCGAGACAACGTACAGGACGGGCCACCGCCCCTCATCGTCCATTCATGGAACCTACGGCCACGACGGCCATCTCCTTAAATTAAGACCAGTCTTGTGTTAGCCCAGGAGTTTTTCGTTGCCATGCAAAAGAAGCACTGCCTCAGGTTACAGCAGGTCGAGATCCTCGGCCGCCCACTGCCTCCACAAACCGTCTTCTTCCTCAGAATGCCCTGAATGCTCCTTCTCCGACGCTTTATGCGGTTGGGTGCCATCCACCGACCCTGGAGGTGTTTCTGAGGAGCCCTCGTCCGGACTGAAAAGGCCACGGAAGGGCAGCATAGACGAACCTTTCTGCTTGGGTTGTGAAGGCTTCGTCTGTGGGCTTTTCCCACCGCCCAACTGCTGCCGCTGCACTTTGCCATGACGGCTCGGGTGTGATGTGGCCTCTGGAGGAGTATCGTCGAAGCCAAAGAGGAAAAAAGGGTTCTGTGAAGTCTCGTTTAAAGCCGCCACGATATCTCCGATTTCTCGTTCGATGCCGCTCGCGTCGATAATCGGCTTGAACATGTCGCCGATGGCCCGCACTGCGGGCATCAGGGGCGCGATAAATCCCCACGGGTCGCTGCTTTCGCTTGAGTTTTCGCTCTGCAGAGGAGTCCCTTTGCTTGGCGATGCACTGGGAACTTGTGAAGAACTTTCAAAGCGCCCTGCAAGGGACTGGCTGTTTTGGCCACCGACATCGTCAGCTCCCACTGCAGAAAAGCACCACAGCAGAACGAGTAAACACGCCACATATGTGCACACAGCAGCACAACAGCGCACTCCACCGGATCAACAAATTCGATATGCAGATTTCAACACTTGTAGGTGCACCCACGTCTCCATCTACGCTTGGCACCCACACCTCTCATCGCTGCGGAATCAGCAGCAACTGAAGAGCAACGCAACTTAAAAGCCCACTGCAGTTCGATAGGTGCCCCCACTCTGCCGATATCATGTTTCAAACTGCCTCCGTGGAGAAAAAGCAAAACACAATGTCTGGCTGCGCACTGCTAAGCAGACGCATCGCCGAAACCTGCAGCAGCTGCCCCATGAAAGCTACTCTTGAAGGGACTAGAATACATGCGGAACGCTTTGACGTGCGGGAACTTACATGTAAATGTGCCCGGAACCGTCAGGAACAGAATTGCAGCAGCGGGCAGGACGGCGATCCATAGCTGCCGCATCCTCAACCCCCAAATCGAGGCCCTAGGAGGGCTGATCAGACGTTACAGGCGCCCCAGAAGGAGCAGATCTGGCTAAAGATTTACTATTGGTTTCCAAAACAGAAACAACTCGCGTCGAGAGAGCCTCACGCCATAGAGCCACGGACGAGGGATGCCGCTGGACCACGTGAAGGTAAGCGGAATACTTTGTCCTTACAAGACGTCAAACTGAGGCAAATGGAAGCAGCTTTAAAGAGATAAACTCCAATCTCCTTGTCCTAGATAAACTCGTAGGTCTTACTTCCCGCAAAGGTCACGCAGGAGCCAAACGGCTTCCCCCACGCGGCTCCTTTCGCGATTTGTTGGCCTTCGCAGTTACACGTAGCGGCATCCCAGTATTTTTCTTCCTTTCCCCGTGAGCTGCATTTTAGATTTATACCAACTACAGACTTTGTAAGCTCCATGCGCTCCCATATACTGCATACAATGCTGTTGCAATATACGCCGTTCGCAGAACGATGCCCCGTGCGCGCTCAAGTGGTTGTGGGAGTGGAGTCCTGAGTGGAGCCGTAGAGCACACAGCCCAGACCCATATCGTACTGTAAGCAGCACAAGCGTTATGGTATCAACACACGTATAAATGGCGTGGGGCGTTTGACCCGGTTTATTTGTGGAAACGACCGCGCCGTTGTGCCTGTGAGCGAATGCTACACTGACGGCGGCGTGCAAATCGCAGCCGCCGACTAATCACAAGTTGAACGATCTTATCCAGTTGAACAGACATGGGGATTTACGGCAGGCCGGCCTAAATTATAGGCCCTTCCGCTGAGGGGACGACACACATGAACCGTAGCAGAGTGGAGGGAGTAGAGGGTTGTGTGTGTGTAGTTGGCGGGGGAGCATTCATTTCGCCTCTGTAGGCTTTCTGCATCTAAGTACAAACGGCCCATAACTGTAGACAGAGGTAAGTCAAACAGTAAAGGAATCTTCTTTAGGCTTCCTGTTGCTCGCACGTGAGGCTGGCTTGCATTGCCAGCTGCAGCGAGGTGCACTGCAACTCCAGTTAGGTTGCCTCCTCCCCTGCACCCCCAGGACCTTAGCTGGACGCTCAGGATGCATTGGGGGAGGGGAGGGATGTCAGCTGTTTTGGGGCGAACTTATACATCAAGTCCTGCGTAGATTGCAGCTCGCTTCTACCCTTGAATAATGCCGGAAGGCGCGCTTTACACACAGTCTATCAGAAGTTAGCACAGGAACTGTACTGAACGTCTTTGGCCTTATTTGGTGACTGTCTCGAGCTGCAGCTACGCCAAGAGACTTGAGGTAAAGGTTCCGGCAAGGCTGCTGATCTCCCTCCCTCGTCATCAGGCGTCCTGCGCACGGCCGCTCAAGGCCGGGAGTTGTGGGACAGCCGGCGTTCTGAGATGAGTTTCCAGAGCACCTCGTTGCAACTAATTGTCGAGGAAAGCCTCACATGCAAGCGAAAACAAGTTTTTTTTGCTCTGTGCATTTTCTCGGTATACACTGGTTGAGCATTCGTATTTGCTTGCCGGCAGTCTACAAAGAACAAGCGGATGTTCCTGCAGCATTCTCTCTCCGAAGTTAGCACAGAAACATTCGCTGGGCCTCGGTAGGACGCCTGCATCCGCTATGAGCAAGGCTCGTGAAGACACGGGATAGACGTCAGCTGCTTTTGGGGAACTCTTGCCTTAAGTCTTTTGCCTTCATTGCTGCCCGCAACGATTCCCGAATACGATCGAAAAGCCCCGTTACATCCCTATCAGAAGTAAGGGCTAACTTGTGTAGCATCGTCTGTACGAAGTTGAAGCATGTATATGCGCTTGGTGGCAAGTTGGCTATTAAGGGCCAAGTAAGTTTTTATTTTTAAGATTTGTTTACACTGCTAGTGCGGTCGAGGAACTGGGGTTGGCTTTGCTTGCACGTGGAGTGGACTTGCAGAACAAGGTACGCTGCAAGTTGCAACTGTCCGCCCCCTAGCCAGAGCCGCTTAGACTGCTCTGCGCTGGACTCTCAGAGGCTGGAGGGGAGGTATATGCAGAGTCATTGGTCTTACCAGTATAACGCTTGCTCTCTGGCCGTAATCAGGGACAGAAGCGGGCTGCAATGTAGGTTAAGACTTAAAACAAGAGTTTCCCATATGAGCTCCCTCCCCTGTCCTCCGGCCTCCTGGGCGTTGAGCTCAGGGCCTAGGTGTTGCAGAGGGGAGGCAGCGTGAAGTGGTGTTGCAGCGCACCTCGCTGCGGCTAATAGTACAAGCCAGCCTCACGAGTACACACAGAGGAACTTCAAAGCAGCTTCCTTTCGTGCATGCTTTACCTCTGAATGCACTTATAGAACGTTTGCATTTGCTTACACGCGACGTACCGAGGCCAAGTAAAGGCTCCTGCGCTAACTCATGCTACAACATGCGTGATGAGAGTATGAGTATGCGTTACGTGTGTATTCTTATACAGTTTACTAACAGAATAGTGGCGGAGGCACATGGTGACTCCTCAGTCTGGAGCTATGCTGTGTAACGCCGGTCAACGGCGACCGCACATATGTACACAATGGGGACGAGAGACTGTTTCCGGAATCTCCCCCAGGGATGCCCGGAGGACGGGGGTTCGGCCGCGGCCTAGAGACCCCGGAGTTTTGTTTTTCGACTTAATTTGTCGAAGAGAAGACTTGCATGTTTCTTGTGTCATATTTCCTTCCCCGCTATCAGTTGTGTACTTACGACCGACGGTTTACGTTCTAATAGAGTAATGATTGAACGTCTGCGCTGGCTTCTAGCGAGGGATTTCCTACTAGATGTCAGAGGTATTCAACCTCTCCTGTCAGTTAAGGTCAATTTATGGATATATAAATACTTATATAAATGTATGAATATTGATTGGTTTTCATAGTGAGATATTTCTCCGGCAGAGTTGGGAGGTGCCCTGCAGAACCGCAGGGCATTCCACTGGGGCTCCGAGGCCGCCGCTGCACAGCCGCCCGCCAGCTCCTCTGCGTCACCGGTGCCCCGTTGATACCATTTGCAAGCTGACAATATTGATGGCAACTCTTTAGATCCCAGTCGCGAAGCCTTCGAGCACATTAGCAAGCTCAGGGAGCTGTATATTCTGCCTTGCGTGGGCAACTGCATGTGGAGGGGCGGCCAACCTCTGGCCCCCAAGTGGACGAAGCGGTCGCCCTCTGAGTGGCTGTACATTTGAATAAATTAGGGGGCCTCAGCAGTGCTTCTGAAGGAGTCACGGGGGAAACCCCACGAAGCGCAGGAAGGGCTTGAGGGGGGCTCGCCGCATTGTCCACTGGGGCCTAGCTTGCAGCGCGGTCGCCTCACTGCTATCCTTGGGCATCTCACTGTTGTGTGGCTACCAGTCACTAAGGCGAACCCCGATAAGCAAGGAATTTGGTGCTGGTGGCCACTGAACTTTACGAGACAGCATAGAAGCGTATATGGTCGACACCGCCAGTGGTTCCAAGATGCTTCCTAGGTCATGCCTTGCTGAGTAGAGCAGGCATCAGTAGGTGCCATGATTTGCTCTTGTCTTGCACGGCGATACCAGCGGCCTCAACATTTAAATTTGTCTGCGTTGCTCTGGTTTCCCCGTCGCCACCTGCGACTTCACGCAACTCTTAGCAGTGAGATTGACCACTTGGACATCATAGGCCATTCGCCAGGGTGGCAGAGGTAAACGAGCCCCCCATTGGTTGACCGTTTGAGCTGCTCCGCCGGTGGCTGTAGGAATGGAAGAGGAACGGTGTGACTTCGGTGTCATCCGTGTGGCTGTCACGGAGACTCTAGCAGCGCCTGCAGCACAGGCTGCTAGTCAGCACCCAGCAGATCGTGTAGACCCAGTTATTACTCCGGATTCGGAGAAACCTCAAGAAGATCAACAGCAACCGCAATATGACAAATCGCCTCACGATAAGGGGCATCAAGGAAACGGTGTTGACAGTCGAGAAGGCGTATGCCCTCCCGCAGAGATGGATCCGCCGCAAACAATGCTCCCAGTAGCTGAAGACCCAGGATCCAGTGAAGACAACGGAGCTCAGAACGTCAATGCAACGGGAGGCCTTATGTCAGGGAATGAGGCGACGGCAGTCACATCCGTAGAAGTGCCGGCAATGGAGGAGGTTGAAGGGGAGGCTGGAAATGACGCGAACCCTCCCGAGCCGTCAGAAGAAGGGGCTTCTCCAAGTGGAGTCGTAGAAACGGTGACGGAGGCCGCAGCTGTAGGGTCAGTTGGCCTTCCAGTCGACGCAAACGAGCCCGTTGGGGCGGTGGACGAGGTAGGAGAGGCGGCGGAGGCGGAGAGCGATGGCAAGGAAAGCAACGATAGCGTTTGCAACGAGTGCGGAGGTGGAGGTGAAGTTGTATGTTGCGATGGTTGTGTCAAGTCTTACCACGCGGACTGCCTGCCTGTAGTGGCCAGGCCGCGCCTGCGGGCCAATGCGGACGACTGGTTTTGCCCAGACTGTGCTGCGGCGGCTGCAGCACCGGCACCAGCCTCAACGGCTGCGCCGTCCACTGTTACCATCAAGCTGCCTCAGGCTTCTTCAGATGCTCGCGGCTCGAAACAGAACATTGCCGCACCCCCTCCTCAAGCTTGTCCGCCCACTACCCCAGCCACTCCTTGGTCCTCCGTGCCGTCTTGCGTCCCCTCCAGGCGGAGGAAAACCAAGGCCGCAGAGGACTATGAGACGCGTATAAACGTGGGGCCTAATCATCAGGTGAGTCGGCATGCATTTGTCGGGATGGAGGGTGATGCTGCACCGGCCAAGACGCCAGCACTCGCGTGCGGGCGCGTGTATGAATGACCTTTATGGCCTGCACTTCTGTCCTTCTTTAGAATAGTTCCTACCGTATTTAGCTGTTCCAGGGCATGCACTAACAACAAGCGCCCACAGCGTAGCAAAAACGGGACGGTGCTGCCTCAGGTGCCCCATCTTCCTGATTTTTTCTTGGCACGAGGAGATGGTGACTGTCTTTCGAGTCTTGCCGAGCAGTCCCTAGCCGATGGCGCGCAGAGTCAGGCATTGGGGCCATTGCTTGTCTATTCTCCGTATCTCATGGAACGTTCAAAGCAGCAATGTTTGGCTGAGAGAGCCACCAAGTCGTGCATTACTTCGCAGAAGGACCTGGCTGAGTTTCTTATCAAGTGAGTCCGAAAAGATTTCCCCCCTCCACTGACTCACTTAGTGGCGGCTGATACTATGGATGGCTCAGCTGCATAGCGTTTACTATTGCNCCCCCTCCACTGACTCACTTAGTGGCGGCTGATACTATGGATGGCTCAGCTGCATAGCGTTTACTATTGCTTGCACGATTTCATGCAGGCGCATTCAAGTGCTGTGCTGCTTGCTGCCCCGATTCAGGTGCTCAAAAAGGTGGAAAGTTCGCCCGGGATGGCAACCTTTCTCTCCCGAGTTTGCTTACAAGCTACTACACCGTGCGAACTACGATCCGGAAAGAGCTTTGCGCATGATGGATGACTCAGCATTTTGGTGAGGCTGATATTAAAGGCATATGTTTCTACAGTTGCACCAGAGTTGCCAGCACACCCCAACTGCAAGTGCCTAATTATGGCGTGGCCCGCTGTACTACTCGTCAACCGCCTTCGAAGCCAAATTGCGATGTACACCCTACAATGTATAGTCCCCACAACATAGAGTGCACATCTGTCAAGCTGTATTGGTATTATGCCCACATATGCATAGCAGCTTATGTGGGCACCCTATGGCTATGGGCTGTGGTTGTCTGCAGCTTCCAAAGCGTGTGCGACCCACCGTTACGGAAGTACGAGAACAAGTGGAAACGTAGAGACAAACGTGGCACGTTTCCGAGTTCACCTTACCCTCCGCCGGTAGTGGTACGTGGCTACCTGAACG